TATAGATATCTATAGTGTGGTTTCCTTATTATCGTAACTTAAAGAACCCAGAAACCAAACCACGACTGACATTGACTCCGACCCCTCGCTGTCTCAACCACGGTGCGAAGGGTACGGCAAAACCAGGGCACCACTCGCTTAACCGCATGCTACAAAGTCCTACCCAGAGAGCCCAATACCCATTAATGAAGGAATATACCTTAAATTATAAGGGGATTAATATATGAAATTTAAGCTATATTCCCTAATTAAGGGGTATTGGGCTCTCTGGGGACTGTTGATAATATAAATCCTGCAAAACCTCAAGGACCCTAAACTATGGGAACTATGGTATATTCCTTATTATGGGTAATGCAGGATTTATATCATCAACCGTATTGCCCGGAAAAACCAAACGTGGAGTCACTGAGGTGGTACCCAGAGACTCCAATATCCCTGTATTAAGGAATAAACCTTAAATGAAAGTAGCTCTCTAATATGATTGCTTAATCAAGGGCTATTGGAGTCTCCGGGTACTGCTGCGACTACCTCCACGAGCTGTGTCGAGTCTGGGCACAAGTCTCCCTAAACCCTTTTTGCCACTGGACTCATGACTCAAGTCTAGCCAGTCTACGACCCACAATCATCTTGACCGAGGCCGACATGCAGCACCAGTCTCCCTAAACCCTAAACCGTCCACTCCGAGGGTATGAAGCAAGAGAGGCCTACAAGTCCCATGGCTAGGACGTATATTTCAGAGGTCACGTATACCCATAGGCTCCATAGTAGTTCCTTTTTGGGATTGCCTTATAGGATTCTAAATATGAACCCCAAAGAGGAACTACTATATAATAACTATCCGGCCGGAACACCGCACGTCGCGCTTGTACAGCTCGAACAAGTAGAGTTTCTCCAAATCGAAGGGCAAAGCGATGTCCTGCGCAAGACCAGGCGACCCCGCCATTGTAGGGGCCTTAATAATTAGAATAGGGTTCTGGGGCCCATCATACTATAATTATAATAAGGAACCCCCCAAAATTAGATAGGCAATTATGATAGGCCCCTATACCATAGAACCGTACCATAGATCCCTTTCAGACCCCTTTAAGGAACCCCCCACATAGTATAGTTAATCATTATAGGCCCCTATGCCACAGAACCTTACTATAGGTCCCTTTAAGGAACCCCCCAAATACTACGTATAGGTAATCATTGTAAGCCCATATATATATATGTATATATATATATATATATTTGCAGCTTTTCTGGCTCTCATGTCTGTGCTTGCTTCACTTCGCGTGCCAACCGTACGTCCACCGCTCAGCATGACCGTGAGCAACTCTAGACCAAACGCAATGTAAGTATCGAAGGAACAAGAGCCCTTCTTGTTCAGCAGCATGAATGCAGAAAGGTGTATATTCAGCATATGTTTACACCTCATCGTTTATCAATGCAACCATCATCGACAACCAAGACCGACAGGAACATCACCATCGCCATCAACAGACAAAGAGTATCGCCCCAACAACCTTGACACCGCCCAGCACCACCACCACTGGCAACATCACCGGCCTTGCACCTGCCTACATCGAAAGTTGCCCAGCACCACGAAATTCCCAGAGTCGCTCATGATCCCCTGACCTGAAAACCCACGGAGCTCTTCGCGGCTGAGTCCTCCTCCTTGCAAACGATCCGCATCAGGCCTCGCGTTCGCAAAAAGTTGCCTCAATCCTCCGGGAACCTTCAGTCATTTTCGTTGAATTGGGACAACGCCTGCTATAGCAGCGGGCTTTTAGGTTACCCGCCAATCCCTGACAAATTCCACTTTCCCGTAGCTCTGGAACTTCCCCCCAAACACCGACCGCGAGAGGAAGCTCAACCAAAAAATGACAATGACCAATTTTGCCCTCCCGCACACAAGCACAAAGCTACTGAACTCCAGTCTAGCCAGAGAGCCCAATACCCCTTAATTAAGGAATATACCTTAAATTACAAGGGGATTCATATTATGATTCAAGCTATATTCCCTAATTCAGGGGTATTGGGCTCTCTGGGTCTAGCCAGACTGCGACCTGCAATCATCGCACACAAAAGCATGAACCCCAAACCCTCAAACAGGATTTTAAAACACCTAGACGGTTTAGGGTTTAGGGTTATTTTAAGAGAACCAACGCCGCTCCTTACACAAAAACTCCGCATGCTCCCAATGGAAGGACGTGTTTTCTGAAGCCTTAGTCGGGGACCCCTGTGACGATGGGGAGCGTTTTGATTTGTTGACGTCTGTCTTTCCGAAGGTTTTTCTTCTCTGTCTGCTTCTTGTTTTCTCTGTTTGAAGATTGCCGCGGTTTGGGTGAGGTGCCTGGCGTGAATGTTGAGCTTGTGGAAGTCGGGGTGCCAGGTGCCCCAGTTCAGAGGTGTGAGTTTCTGAAAGTAGAGGGCCCTTAGATAGTACCCTAAATAGTAGGATCCTTAGTAAAAGCACCCCAGCTGAAATCGGCTCGGCCTATCGCGAAATGAAGATTCCTGGTAGTACTTTCCGGAGACTCTTCAACTTTCTAGTATCGTATATGAAAGTGCAATATAGTACTGTATTTGATAGTAGTATATATAGTATATTATAACAGATTATAGATTCATTCTTCGCTGGACCGGCTTCAAACTCAGAACGGCTCCAGCCGGTTGGGTTTAGGTTGCGCAGCTTGAAATGGCTTGAACCGGTGCCGGCCCATCGTGAAAAGAACAAGCGAATGGATTTTGAATTTAGATTTAGGGTTTCGGTGAAAAGAAACAGGGAAAGGGAAAGGATTTACGGGACGAAGGATAAGACAACAACAGCGCGAGGGATTCTCCTTCGAAACGATCGAATGTGCAGAACATAAAGTGTTTGCAGCCACAGCAAAAGAGGTAAAGAACTGGGTGATTGTTAACATGCATGTGCATAGACACATACATACAAATACCTATGTGCAATCTTGTCTGCTTCTCTTGCAGCTGCTTACACCTATGTCTGAGTATAGTCTCCATTGTTGCAGTCTTATTTGCCCAGCAGTCCTGCGATCGTCCAAAAAAGTTAATCCAATCTTTGCAACCGTGAGGCCCAAGAAGTGCCAGCCGCTGACCAGCAATGTGCCGGCCAGGAGTGCCAAGGGAACCCAGAGCCAAACGATCCCACAGCAACAGCCTCGGTCAGTTCAAACTACCAGCGACAACAACAACCAGTAACCAACAACTAACAACCAACAGAGTTGAGGATTGCGGATGCTTGGTTTTGGGCTCGGGGTGAAGGGTTCAGAATTCAGTGCCGCCTGGGGCTTGCGGATGCAAGGCTTCCCGGCATAGAACGAATCACTAGCTACAACCCTGAGCTCAGAGCTCAGAGCAACAACAAATTGTCAAAGCATGGGATAACGACCTCAAAATCATGAGGCACCCCATCCTTTTGCTGTCAAACGAGAGCCGCATCAGCCTTCATGGAAAGGAGGTCGTAGGATCGGGCATACTATACATATATATATATATATATATATCTACACACACAGTAACAGTATTTACTATTTGGTTTGTTTACTTGTATCTATAGTCGTCTGTCTACTTGTGCATTGATTCATTATTCCTTTATTTAACACTGAAACTGATCCGCGAAGGCCGTGCAGCGTCATGCATACATACATACCTACATATACCTACGTACATATGGAATCATGTGTATATATCTTTCGCTTCTGTTTGATGATCTATGTGGACACACTTGTATGCATAGTGTATGTCTGTGCACGTGCTCAGTTTCTACATGAGCATGCAGGTAAGTATGTGTATACTTACACATACATATACTCTGCATACTCACCTGCGCAATGATATCTCGACGCAGACTTGTACTAATTACATGCTAACGGCTGCTAACGATAAGCAAATTGGCCAGGCCTTTTCCTCTGCAGCTGCCACATCACACAGGGTTCCGTCAAACACGCATGCGGAAATCCGCTTCAAGACGCTGCTGCAATTTCTGCGGTTGGAGAAAATCGCTTTTGCAAAACCCTTGGCCACATTTCGGACATTGCAGCGCAAAAAATCTCACAGTAAATGTTGGGCACCTGCTTCGATTCAGGATCGAAGGCTCCCACAACAGATTAAACACAAGAGAATTCGCCGCGCTAGAGGCATTTGAATGTTAGATCTGGGCTTGATGGTCTGGCATGAAAACTTGAATGCAACTCTTTGAGTACCAAGGCTTTTGCGGAAGAATACTAAGGCCATGTTTCATGTTCCATCGTCTTAGCTCATGCATGTCGACCCAAGAAGCCCAGAGTTTGATAGTTTTCAAAAACTCATTCGCCCTAGTCCAGGGACCGGACGACTCTTGCTTTGGGCTCCCTCGCTTAGGGCCCTACTTTGTACTTTAGAGGCCTGAATAATTAGAATGGGGTTTTGAGTTTTGAGCGCTTTACCAAGGCCGGAGAAGATCTGGAAAGTTTCAAACGGTATGATTTAGAGAATGAGTGCTGTGGGTGGGGAAGGGGCGCCCATTATACTAGAATGGTAATTATTGAAGCCCCTATATGGCAGTTTCCGAAAATGGGGACCCTAATATCGTACCCTAAATAGTAGGATCCTTACTATAAGGACCCCAAAATAAGGTACCCGTAATTTTCGGAAACTCCCATATGACTTTGTCGGTATCATGGCTTGGGTCTGGGACTGAGAAAGGCTGTGCACCATGGAGTTCCTGTATCAAGAGGCCACAATGAAAAGAATAAGGTTTTGAGGCACAGACGGACCGTTTAGGGTTTAGTTTAAGGTTAAAGTTTCGGGTTTAGTTTGGGGTTTAGGGTGTAGTTTGGCGTTTAGGGTTTAGGATGTCGGAGCTAGTGATCTCAAAACAAGGGCCGGCCATCCCAGGAAGCAAGGCCCCAATTCAATGGCACACAAGCGCCAACTCCGTGCAACGACTCGAGTGGGTGCGTCTGGCTTCATGCATCGACGCAACCTAACTAAACTCTGTCCATTCCCCCGCGGGCTCTTCAGAACTTGCCACGGCGCCTCTGCACATGCTCCTGGAACGCATCTGGGTGCTTGGCGACACTTGCCAGGTAGGCATTGAGTTCCTCCATTGAGCTTCAAGATGCAAGCTCTCTCGTGTGCTTGGGCGGATGGGGCAGGTTTGTAGACAATCAAAGCAGAAATTACGGCACTGCGGTCACGCGCTCTACGCTTTTAAGCTGGCAAAAGACAAAGCTGCACGACATTCGGATGAAGGGGGCGCTTCAGAGAAAACGGGGATTTCTTATACCTCCCCAGATATCTCCGGCTCTCCTCCACGTGCTGGTCATGGCTATCACGGTTCGGAGGTCTCGCAGCCCTGAGGACCTTCGCTGGAGGAGAGGCCACGGGTGAGCCGGCACCGAAGGCAGCAGACATCTCCAGCACTCCATCGCGACTTCCACTGCACCCCATGGCTCTCCGTAGGCCAACCGTAGCAAAGCCTGAAGAGCCTGCTTTGAGCCTTTGGTCAGATATCGAATCACCCAGAAGGCCAACATGACGCACTTGAGTTTCATTCAAGGCAGCCAACTTGGCCCTAAGTAGGAGCCTTATAATAATTACCGAATACTATTTTTGGGTGGGTTCCTTCTTATAGTCATTTGTAGTATAATATACCCCGAAATCCCAGTCTAATTATTGAGGCGCTTCTTTTACAATGAACCCCAGAAAGTTGGAACATGGATTTAGGATGATTAGTGCTAGGATTCCCCATACTCAACCTCAAGGGCATGAGGATAATGATGTTCCAACTTTCTGGCTTCTACTGTACATTTTGAAGCTCCACAGGGTTCCAGGGAGATGGTGATTTCGGACATGGGGGGGGGGCCATAACGTAGATCTCAGAGGCTACCGAAGGATCCGTGATAGACTAAGCCCCAGCATGGAGGCCCCAGTTAGGGTTCAGGGTTTGAGGTTAAGGGTTCCTGATTTGGGTTTAGGGCTTTAGGGTTTAGGGTTTTAGGGTTTCGGGATTTAGGGTTTAATGTTCCTAATTTGGGTTTAAGGTTTGAGATGAGGAAACCCGTATGTTATACGAGTATCTCGCCGAGGTGCTGGCACAGCATACAGGTATAACCATGATGGCGCCAATACCCACGAACTTCCGATCGAAGGTATATGCCTGGTACCTTCCACGGACTGGTCCACAAGATGGGAGTTTCCGAAAATAGGGGACCCCGATATAGCACCCTAAATTGGTAGGATCCTTATCAAAAAGACCCCAAATTTAAGGTACCCCTAATTTTCGGAATAGTATAGGTAATTACTCAGGCCCCTGTAGGATGTGTTGGGCGAAGGGCCGCAGGGCTTCTCGGTGTATGGGGTTTGACAGGTTAGGAGCTTAGGCTAAGGGTTTAGGGTTTAGGGTTTAGGGTTTAGGGTTTAGGGTTTAGGGTTTAGGGTTTAGGGTTTGGTTGGGGCATGGGTTGAACCGCAAGTCTTAGACGAGAAGCCCATCGCGGGATGGGATCATCCACGGGTGTTGTTTTCTGAAACTCCAGATTGGGGTTTGAATGGATTCTTGTGTCAATTTTCAACTCTTGCGCAATTCCAAAAGAGCTGCTGAAGACTTTCCAGGCGGTTTCGGGGCCATGAAACAATCGAAAGTTCCGGTCCATAGGGCGTTTTCCAGCTAATGAGAACAGGAGAGCCAGTGCGGGAGCCAAGCTCTGGACTCTGGTCATATGATAGCAACGATAGTCACTACTGCGACACACCCTAAACCCTGAAGCCCGAAGCCCGACCTCCACTCAGGACCCAATCAGTTCGCCGAAATCCCGAATCCCTGATGTCCCCAAAACCTCTTCAACATTCAAACACCTAGGTTTTATCGGAAGATCAGCAAACAAAGACGGTGCCCTCGTATCAGCCCTGGTGACTAGGGCCAAAGAAGCCGAGGCACCTGCACGCCCAGATGAAGCCGGGCAGCCAAAGGGTGGCTGCTAGAAAGGCCCCAAACAAAGGGCTCCCCGCCACTAGTTCCTGAGGTCTTCGGTCAGGGTTTCGTCTCTCACTCTCGCACAAGCGTTTAGGGTCTTCGGTCAGGGTTTCGGGTTTAAGGTTGGGCTTCCTGACTTCTCTTCAAGAGCAGTTTTGGGCTTAGGAGTCTGGGGTCGAGGGCTCCCCCAGTGTACGTTTGAGCTTCAGAAGTCCGATTCTGGGTCTCCGGGCTGAGGATTTAGGCAGTTTAGGCTCTCGGAGACAGGGAGGGGTGCGACTCATGAACTCTGGCGGGCTGCAAGATGGTTACGGGAGCTGAAGGAAGCTGGGTCCTCGCATTCCGTCGATGTTGGCTTTTGGACGCTGAACCCCGGAGCGCTCGAACCTCAAGCCATCAAACCACCACGCCTAAACCCTGTTTTAGGGAGCTGTTGTTTCTCCAACTTAAGGGCCCCGCGTTCTGGACTTCGGACCCCGACCCCCATGGCCGAGATTCCATGATGGCGACAACAGCAGACATTCCCAGCGCGATGAAATCCAAGACCCAGTAGACCTGACTGTGTCAATCCAAACTTATTCTACGGGCTGTTTGGAGTTGATGCAGTGCTTCTCTGGTATTCTGAGGGCTTACAGTACTTGTAGTCGTAGTCGTGGCTGCAGTCGGCCAAATCTCAGCCATGAGGCCGCGAGCTTTCCGACAAGCCAAACGAGCTCATTGCCGTTGTGCACGCTGCACCTGTCCAGAGCTTAGGGGCACATCCCACGCTACCATGCGAGGGTACTTGGAGCTACAACAAGAGCATGGCTCATTATTGGCGGGGGCCACAAAAAATCCGAAGCTTCAACCCTAAACCCTAAGCCCTAAACCCATAAATCCCTAGCACCTCAAAGGAAGTTTCCATTCTTGGAAGCCCTGAGCGGCCTCTCGAACTGCGACTCTCGAAAAGCCATGAGTCCTGGGCAGGAGTTCATGTTCATGAGAGGATAACCAGCTCCGGCTGAAGATACACTATACTGAACGTAAACCCCTAGCAAAATGATCATTTTAGCTGTTTGTCAGGGATTATAAGAACCAGAATTAAAGGCTACTTCTAAGTGTACCCCTAGGGTATTTATGGCTTACTACTTACTTTAGTTCTACATACCCAGAGTCTATTGCAGGGACGAACCTCCGGAACGTGCCCTTGTCTTGTCTGCCTTCGCCCTAGTTGACCGGATGGGGCTGTGGAATGCGGGGCCTTGACATGGGAGTTTCCGAAAATAGGGGACCCTAAAAAAGTACCGTATATAGTAGGATCCTTATTATGAGGACCCCTAAATAAGGTACCCCTAATTTTCGGAAACTCCCACATGGAGCTGCAGATACGCAGCCTCAAACCGAGTAAAGGCAAACCATACTTCCTCAATCTTCCAGTGATGCTTCGAACTTAGCATGTGGTGCTGCAGAGAAAGGGGCTTGGCTAGAAGCTTGCCAAGTAAGGCAGTCCGTGCATGGTGATACTTTCTTGAGACGTCCTTCTCTCAATTACTGGAATACTTGACTCTTGACGTCGCACTTGCGAGCTGGGGAGGGGAAGGACATGTAGGTTCCTGGATCAAGGCTGGACTTGGTCGCGGCTCCGACGAGCCCAACATACCCGAAACGCTAAGCCCGCCAGTGCTTTCACAGCTGCGGGGGCAGGTCTGCCTACCTGGGACTGGGTTCTGGGGGCCCTGCAGGATCCTCCGGTGTTTGGGTTTGATTAAATGCCGTGCTGCGTACACTCATCCTTAAGGCTTAAGTTTCTGGTTCTGTTGTTTCTACGGAAAGAAGGCCAGGTGGCAGGCTAGCCTTAAGCGCTGCTCCAGAAAGGTCAAGCTCGAGCTTTGGGGATTCATTTGTCGAGTGTGCAGTTTTGCGGTGGAAATATGTGGGGTTTCCGAAAGTAGGGGACCCTGATATCGCACCCTAAATAGTCAGATCCTTATTGTAAGGACCCCCAAATAAGGTGCCCCTAATCTTCGGAAACTCCAAACACTTCTAGAGCCCTTCAAAGGAGGGTTTCTTATGGTACCATTATAGTAGCCCTTTAAAGGAACCCTAAGGTCCCCCAATTTAGATGTTGAAGGGACTCTTCCTTCAGCATGAAAGCCTTCGAGAGCGGAATAGGCAGGCATGTTGGATTCAGCATTTTGGGAAGAGGGCCCGCTTTCGGGTATATATGCAAATATGGATCTATATGTATAAGTATCTCCGTATAATCTAGAACCATCCGACTTTTAGACGATGATGCTAAAAAGGTCGGATACCGAGTATCACTAGGTGGTGCCTCGAATCTTGCTGGTCAATGCTCAAATCGAGGCCGAAACGTAATGTTCCAAATCTTGATGTGGCGACCGTGTGGCAGAAAAAATGCAGCAACCTTTCCGTAATTAGCTGCCTAGTTCAACAATATCATACTGGACTTAGTACATGCAACAAGATGACCGGCCAATGCACAAGGGCCACATATTCTGTACGCAGCATGTGGAGTGCCACTCACACGATACGTCAAGTTGCTTGAGCCTAAGCCATGGCTGTTCTGTGAAACCTAGTTGAACAAAAAGGCCCTCATGCTCGACCGACACACGGAACATTCCATTTCTGCCAAAGGCAGCAAGCCCCAACACTGAAATCCTTCAAATGCCGTGCTGAGGCTGGAGTCACAAGCAATTGCCTTGTGCCCCGACACCCTGGCAACCTTTAGGCAGGAAAGCCCTCCAAAACTGTTCTATCCCGGAAAGTGAGTGCACCAAAAGGATTTGCCTCTTTGGGGCTTTCCTAACGCCGTGCAACACTGCAGATTGGCTGACTTCAAATTTCCGGTAAATGTTCAATGTCACCGGGCCAGAACAGAAACTTTCAAAACAGGACCAAAATGAATGATCGAAAGCTACACCAAGCCAACCCGAACAATCCACATAAGGGAATAAAGGATCCCTTAAAGGAGCCTTTGTAGGATGCCATCCCTCCAAAGGATCCCTTAAAGGAACCCTTACGGGATCCCTTAAAGTGACCCTTAAGGGCTCCCTGAAAGGGCTCCCTTTAAGAGGAGCCTGAGGGTGGCATCATCGCCTCTGTCCGGATACTCACACTGAGGCGAACGAGCAACAGCTCCTTCTCGCAGATCTGGTTGCAACTCTGGTAAGGGTTAGGGTTTAGGGTCTATAGGGTTTGGGGCTTAGGGTTTAGAGTTGAGGGTAGTTTAGGGCTTAACTTACATGGAGAATGAGGTTCAGGATTTGAGCTTGTTGGATCAGCTTAAAACTCGAAAATGCGCGCTGGGCGGGGGTGCTACAAGCCCGAATCCTTAAACCCTGCTTAAGCCAGAACTATGTCCAGCAGGTACTATCGGGGCCTTAATAATTAGAATAGGGATTTTGGGGGTATATTATATTATATTCATAATAAGCTGCAGGCTCCTCGTTTAATCCATCCCCGGATCAACTGGCAA